TACGTGTGCAATATAACAATGCTTTCAGTATGCTGTTAGAGCTGCCGCGCTACTGCAGCGCATCAATAATGTTTGCAGAAGCACATACGAATGGTTTCCAATCAAAGCGACAAGCCCCTATAATGCAGCGGGTGCGCGCCAGCACCAACAGCCTCCTGAACACAGTTGCGAAAAGCGTTGAAGATTCGTTGAATGAACGCTTCAACGTGCTGCAAGTGGTGCCCTCTAATTAGGCTGTCAAATAAATGTAAATATAAATAGACAAATGCAATATAAAGTGATTAATGTTCTTACTAACATAATTTAAAAGTCTGTTACTAATTATATATGGATTCAGGTCCGAAATAAATGCCTATTATTATTTTATATCTATTTTAAACTATCGCCTCTCCCAAGGTCTAAAAGATTAATTTTTAATTTATTATTATTATTTTCTCTAATCCTTATTATTATTTACTTTAACCCTTTCAGCTCGTTAGCTGGTTTAAATCACATTTACGAACCTATTATTATTATTATTATTATTATTATTGTATTTATTTTAAACTCTCGCCTCTCCCAAGGCCTAAAAGAATAATTTTGAATTTTTAAATGGGAGAGGCGGTATTTCCCGGCAATGGCACAGTCGGCCGGGGTCAGGGACTCAGGTCCAAGAATCGGCGAACAATACGTGCCGTATCGAGCAGGACCGCCTTCTGCATTTGTGCTGGAAGCGACACGCCACAGAAATCCAACCGCCTCAAGCTGTTAGAAAGGCTGACTGGAATTAACCCATTTGCGGACAAAACAATTGGGATTATTTCAGTAGAGGCCACATCCCACATGTCGGTGATCTCGTGCGCCAGGTCGAGATACTTTTGGCGTTTCTCGGTTTCAGCTTTCACGAGACCCTCATCATGCGGGATGGTGACGTCCACAAGAAATACCCTCGACTTATTATTATTACTTATTATTATTATTACAGACTTCAAACAAAGGAGAAGGTTCTTAATTCGAGTGTTTTTTTTTGTTGGTGTATGTTACACGATTTCTCCGAAATTTGTAAACCGATTTCGATGATTCTTTTGTTATTTGAAAGAAGATATCTCAGTAGTACTCCCATTTAAATTTAAAGGAAATATTCCATTTCTAAGGGTGAAAAATTAGGGAATGAATCCGGTTTATTAGATTTCACCCTCTTTCCGTTAACCGATTTCCATAAAACTTGGCAAATAGATGTTATTCTACAACCTTTTAAGGTCAGTTTTTTTATAGTTCAATCGTTAGTCTCGCTTGGTCTCGCTAAAGCCAATCTAAGGGTTACACACGGCGACTTTTTGAAGCAATGCAAACGCGCGTTTGTGAAATTCGGGATTGCATCGCCACACTTGCGATTTATTGGTGATTGCATCGATGCAAACGCTCAACTGCATCAATACAGCCGCGTATGTTGAATCATTATGTACGAAAAAACTGTACAGATTTATGCACATTGTTTTGTTTTGTTAACTGTAAATTTTAAAGTGAAATTAATAAATACATTAAATAAATAAATTACTTTAATTAATTTAAAACGTGCATCGTGTTTGTATCGCGTTTGCATCGCTGCTGCATCGCGTTTGCATCGCTGCTGCATCGCGTTTGCATCGCTGCTAAAAGCCGCCGTATGTGTACCTCTCCAAGATTTAGATATTGTCAAATTTGCGTGAATTGGCCCTAAAATTGGGTCATACCTTACTATGTTTAGGTGTTACTGGAGGTTTTAAGTCGGACAGGTGAGCCAGTTCATCCAACAAGGAGTCCAACATTTTAAAGAGCAGCGCCGCTCGAATACATTCCTTTGTCGGTGCTAATTGTAACGGTGCGTGGCCCTCTACTGGAAACCTGAAGAAGTAAATCTGGTTGATCATACAGAACAGTGATAGGAAAGATGTCAAGTGAATGGGCGCACAAGTCGTGCATCTTGTGGCAAGTGGCACGCGTACTCATAACAGTTGTAGTGCCACTTACACCTTTAGGAAGATGAGAACAGAGAACGAATGAAACTCGCAGAAATTAAATAGCAGGGACGAGTGAATATTTTTTAGAAATGAATGTATATGAGTGAATAATAAACACCGGCACTTATGTACGACATAGAAATTAATAGAAAGTAATTTTAGGATTTACGAGACTCACACAAACGGCACATGTCCAAAATTGGCGTAGAGATGTTCTTGCATCGCCAATGATACAGCAGGGAAGTATGCAATACCGGCACCATAAGCCACTTTGTTGAATGCGATGCCCATTGACACTCCATTTCTGAAATGTACGAAATTAGTTTGTTCTAATATAGGTTTATGCCTGGCTGAGATGGTAATGACTTTGAAAAGTTAGTTAGTTTAAAAAAGAAAGTACAATATATGATATGCTTCTCCTTTCATTCTATGAACCCAATACCTTCTGCTCTTCCGGCGGCAAAGCCGTTGGCATCTTCTTTACCAATATAAAAGTGCAACAAAGCGTGGATCCATCACAGACGTGTTCTCAGGGCGATTGCTGTGTGAATACTGCGGCTACCCGTCTTTTAAACGCATGAAAATAAATATCGTGTGAACACCTCAATGTCTATTCGTTTATAATCGAATACGGTAAAAAACGTGCAGGACAATGCCGTGTGAACCAAGGTTGACTGTACCTTACTACCGAATATAAAAGTGTCAGATAATACAACAAAAACTTAAAAATTACTTTTGGTAAATTTGATGTTTTGTAAAAGGTCGTGGAACAAAAGTTATTATTTATAATGTTAGTAATAATTATAAACCCTGAATATGTAGAATACGTAAGTAATACATGCTTGCGCGTGTGAAATCGCGGGCACAGCTAGTTATATCACAAACATAATATATCTAAATAGACACCACAAGTATGTGTACCTATTTCGTGTGCCCAATGTAACCTACAAACCATAGGTTCCCAAACATTCTGGCTCGCCGCCCACTTAGGCAAGATAAAACAACTTCACCGCCCACCACCATAAAAATAATTGAAAACACGTATTTTTTATTATTAACTTTACACAAAAAATCACAAGGGAAAAAAATATATGTCGGGGTTAAGGCCGGAAAGGGAGACGTCGAAAGAAACATCCTCAACGCAGATAATTAGTCCGAAAGTAAAAGAGATGGATAAGGTTAAAACGGATTTTAAATATCACGCGGCAAGTTCAGAGCGAGGGAGGCGGTACGTCTTCACTGTCCAAGCTGCTTACACAAAAAGCCCCCTCTCTCCGACCATACCCAGTTTGAGCTGTCAAACTAACGTGACATTTGTAATAAAGGAAACCATGATCGAAACTATAATAAATTACGTTTATATAATAAATTACGTTTAGTGATAGCTGGCGCCGACATATATACATATGTGTTATATAGGTAATTAAGGTTTATTTTTCAAATGCGGTAGCACCCCGGGACAGTATCAACGCCCCCCAATTGCTTCCGAGGTCATAGGACTCTTCAGCGCCCACTGGGGGCCGGTAGGGACCACTTTGGCACTGCTATAAATGCTTAGTTGCTGCTGCTACGCTTCAGAACGTGCCCGGCCGTTATCGTAGTTAAACATCAGTCGCAAAATGTGAAAAATGCCTAATTGTGCCATTAGAAATCTATAAAAACACCACACCTATGAGAAGAAAAATAAACAGGTACGTTTCCTTGTTTCCTTCCACAAGTATGTAATTTTGTAATCAGAATATGCATAATTTATTTTAAAATGAATTATTTCCATTTTGAATGAAAAGTAATATGCAAAACGTGTGTATGCCTAATAATACACTGTAATACACTTCGGCTTTTACTTGGTGCTGTACACTGTTGATCCTTCTGTAGTAGGCCATGAATATCGAACGAGCGATATTTTCGTAAAATGCATTCAAGGGGTCTATTGTTCCCTGTTCTCATTGTTCTCCGTCCGACATCTGTCCGAAACAAAACAATATTAGTGATGTTCATTTGATGCAACACAGTTCTCGAGTCTAATCGGTTTAGGAAACAAAGGAAAGATTAAGAATGTTATAAAAATATAGTATAATGTTGGTTGCTTTTTGTTTTTTTTTTCCAGTCCAGAGCGACTTTTATTTCAAAATACACGTTAATAAAGGATTTAATTATTTTATTCTGGTATTATTTTATTATATGAATATTTCACAGCTTCTTATAACAAAAAATACTTGAAAAATTATTATTCTAAATACGTGTCGCGTCCGCGTCTTCGATTTAATCAATCGCTTTAGTACCGAAGGAGGTTTCCCATCACTAAATAGCGCTTGTGACATCATCTGAGTTACAAAAAATGTGGCACGCTTGGTTTTAACACAAATTGTGGTACTTGCGGTGTCTATTTAGACATTTATGTCTGTGAGTTATACATATATACTTATAAAGTTTTAAATTTCCTACCTCAAGTTCTGAAGGAAAATAATCCTGACCTGTAGTATTCCAAAGTTCCCTTATCCAAATCAAGACAAGATCCAATGACGTCACCAGGTAGCCACGATTGCCCGTAAGGCGAGGTGGCCACGTTCCACTTCCGGATTCGGCCTCCGTCGTAGGCGTACGAATGAGCCGTGTCTCCTACTCCGGTGTCCATTGAAAATACGCAGGAGGATGTACACCAGCCAATCTAAGGACGGGACTGGAGTTTTGTTTGGTAGTTTTTCTCAAAAGTTGAAAAACTTCCGCGAATGTTTTTGTCGAAATAACATAAAATCTTTTTACTACTTCTGTCATTGACTTATACTCTTGTACTTATGACCAGTTACACACGGCGACTCCCTAGCAGCGATGCAATCGCCCGTTTCACAAATACGCGTTTGTGCGCTACACTTGCGTGTTTGTGCGCTACACTTGCGATTTATAGGCGATTGCATCCATTATAATTAGATTTTGACAGAGTAACAAGTATTATCATAATTGCAAAATGAAGATTTTTTGGTACATAATGATTCGACATAAGTGATTGCATCGATACAAACGCGCGATTGCATCGATATAAATGCGCGATTGCATGAATACAAACGCGCGATTGCATCGATACAAATACGCGATTGCATCTATGCAAAAGCGCGACTACATAGATGCTTATGCTGAATCATTATGTACGAAAAATTAAATATTGCAATTACATTTATTACTCTGCTAAAACCTAATTACAATGGCAGTTGAGTCTCAATAGAGTGTCAGTGGAATGACAGTAATGGCATTCATTCATTCAGTCACTAACTACAACTAACGACTGATGTAGCACTAAAACTACCATGGATATTATACTATGCAGAATATATTTAAATCGTTTAAGTAGTAATCTACAAACTAAATGTATTTTTTATAAAAACTCGATAATCGATATAAACACTTAAATTTTAAGTAAAAACGAATCGAAAGAAACGTCAAATAACTAGTAAACTCTCCATCGACTCGGCCATGAAGAGCAGAATACCAAAAAATTGCAAAGGCAGTTGAATAGTAGCTCGATGGTAAGCACTGACAAATCACTACTCTGAACTTTTAGCAAAATACCAAACGTACAAAATCCTGTCATTATTATTATAGACTCGTATACCTCTATAGATTCACAACTGACATGATTTAAAATTGAAACTCGGATCAAATAAAAATGTACCACTTAGGAGCAGTCTTAGACGAGGATATTGTAAGAATTATTTGCTAAAGGAGCCCAACCTGCATAATGCCTTTAGTGCCAAGCTGAACCTCATACATCCACTTTCCTGCAAATGCGCAGGCCGTGGCCCGAATTGTCGCAAAGCTCGATAGACCTTGCACACTCACGCGTTCGTCACCAACTAGCACGAGGCGACCCGTGCCTGAGTGGATGGAAAGACAATAACCGTAAAGGCTGATAATGTACATTGAACCCACAGAGTGTTAAAATTTTGGAGACCTAACATTGATGAAAGATATCCTAACACCACCACGGCAGGTATGTAACAATACTAGGGTTTTAAAATACATTTAAATGGACAATATAAATAACAGCTTACCTGTAGAAGCATCAAAAACAACTATTTTTGGTCCAATTCTGCCTGGCCTTTCATCATTATCTGTACTCTGAAAAAACAACACTAAACAGCATATACAAAGCGCTACACTAATATATTTTCATGTGTTAAAAACAGTTTTGATCACGTTTTGTCAGAAACAGTATGATCACGTGGATTTATTATACTACCGGCGTACGAAATATATTGTTATAAAAGTAGCAATTGTTATGATTATAGCCGTATACACTGTTAGTTACTTTGTCTCTGCAAATTATCCTTTGCTTTCATTGACTTACAATTATATGGACGTCGGGTCCGCGCTAAAAAGTGTCCGAACTTATAGGGCGTTAAAATCGTATACAGAGCGTCATTCACGCTCGAGTCTTCGCTTGTTCGATTGACAGCGAAGCAAACAAAATTAGACAGTACTGCGATGACATTACAATTTAAATTCAACGTTTTAGCTTTTTCATATTCCTTTACATGTCACTACGTTTAAATAGGTTGACTTGGGACATTTTTTTCGTGGTTTTTGTATTAGACCCGTCGTCCATTTATTTGTAAGTCAATGTTTGCTTTACATATATTTGAACCCAATATCTATCAACTAGATTCCACACAAGTCAGAAAACTGAGCAAAGTTTATTAAAACTTCCACGCCACGAAAACTTTTCTTGATTGAAGGAAGAACTTTTTCTGCTTAGAAATTATTGGGACATAGTTTAACGAATTTGACAATGACAATTAAAACCACATATTCGTATAGGTGTATAAATAAAATGTTTTAACGAACCTCTGTCACAATGGGTGCATGTCTTTTGGATGTTTTACTTTTATGAGTCGGCGCTACCATCTTCGCCTCAAGAATCTTTGGCAGATTTTCTCGGATGTGGCTAAGGTAGCGTGTTCTCCTGAAAAACAAACACCAAACCCTTGGCAGACTTCTTGTATTTCATTCATTTTATAATGTATCTTCAAGCACAGTCTACGGTCTCTTAATATTGTATACTTTTACGAAGCTGCAGAGCCTTGAACACCGCTGTAAAGTTGCCGGCTTATTGGTATTTTACAGGATAATTACGCAGATTGTGCGATGGAATTGTATTGTTTAATTCCGCTTTCCCCTTTCCATCATCGGGCGACTAGATGTACCGCTAAGTTGCGGATATTCCAAGGTTTCACACGAAGCGTTTTGCTTCCACATTTATATGGCGAACAGCTAAGGAGTGGAATTCCCTGCCTGCAGACTTGTTCCCCGAAAGCTATAACTTGGGAATTTTCAAGGCATGAGTGAATAGGCATTATTTTAGGTATCCGTCCTACATCGTCGACCTCATCTTCACTTTCCATCAGGTGAGATGGAGGTCAAATGTGCACTTTCTTATTAATATTAACAAAAAAAAAATATTTCAGGAGATGTGATGGTGGATATCACACGAAAAATATTATTTACTTACTGATTATGCTTATCATTGTTATCTTTCAAGACCATCTCGTTGCCAAACACCCTTCGGATAGTGTCATGAACTTCTCCCTTCTCGCCTGAACTGCTACATACACCGAACATCGACTTGAGGACGTTCATCTTGTACTATTCTTGTCGCTCCTGTGGGATTATTAATATTATAAGTAATCCACACAACAATAAATACATTAGAACTGCTTAGTGGGCGTGGCACGTGCCAACAGTACGCGGAGTTCCACATATTTTCGCTTTGCACGTTATGGTTGTGTCAATTATCTCTCGCAAAACCTCGAAAATTGTAGAAAAATAGCTTATTTTGCAACATACTTGTAATATTATACATGGTGGTGTTTCATATCATCGTTAAGTCTTATTTTATATAATTTTAATAAATTTTCCATTTTCCGTTTAGGGCAATATTTTTTTTGTTACAAGAAACGAAAGTAAACATTATACCGCTGCAATATGGTTGCTTCTTTTTTGGAAAACTAAATAAACTTGTCGAATTTTCCACGCAACTCTTAGTCGATAATCATTCGTCATCGTTTAGCTACTGACCGTTAGATGGCAGCACATTGATTAAAATTTCAATGTAAAATATCAAAACGTTGCAACTTGCAATAATAATTCAACTTACAACGATATGCCAACAGGGTAAAGTTTAAATTATATTAACAGTCCACAATTTGTGAATTCTTTTTAAATTAGAAACTACGACCAACCATTATCAGGATTTCAAAGTGTTTGAAATTATGAACGCATGAACATGAACGTAATCGAGGCTTAAGGCACTTCCATTTTTTTTCTGTGTTATAACAGTTTTATGTAATCGCATTTGCTACTTTTCTAGTGGACAAACATCACTTCAAAAGGGAGTTGTCTGATTTGCTTAAAATGTTTATCTTATTCCGATAAATACGTTTCAAATTTCTGTTTGCTTTTAGGTGCCATTGTCGTAAAAGACTACGCTTTTGCGGTAATAATTTAAAAAAATAACACTATCAAGTTTTTCATTGAAAATATTATTTTAACAGTAGAGCTCCTTGTGAAAGAGTTCGTTGTGGAAGTACTGCTACCATATCTAATGCAGCAGTAATGTGAATATTAGTGTGTTCCGGTTTTAAAAGGCATGGGTGCTGATGCAACTACGGGCGCATGGGACTTGTCAGCTTTATGTCGGATGGTGACAGACGCAGTGCCCCTCGTAGTTATGAATAGGAGTGTCGTTTACCACTCAGGCGTATTTGTTCGTCCTGTCACTTGATGCAATAAAAACCAGATTTCTAACAATGATGTAAAGAAGGATGACGAAAGCTGACCCAAATAAAACGAAGTGCCGTTCATGGACTTCGCTAGTATAATTTTACGTTTTAGTTTATGCCTAGTTATCAATATATTTTTGTATATTTTTAAAAGTCGGGAATGCAAGAACACAACGCAGTTGACTCAGTTCGACCATAGATTAAGTAACGTTCTTGTACGTACGTTACATTTTAAGCATGACTGAATGTTTACCTACCTAAAGTATTGGTTATTTTATAGAAAACACATAAAACATGAAAGCTATAAAATACCTGATCAAGTAATCAATTAAACAATAGTGACAAAGTAAAAAATAAAACACAATGTGACGAAAATGTTCAGAAAATATTTAAATGAGAGATACGAAAGTTAGCAAAGAAACGTTTTGACAAGAGGCCTCTTGCCAATGTCAATGTCACTTTGAGATTGAGAACTGTGTGGCCATTTATGGCAGATTGTTGCCATTTGGGCAGATTTAATTTTTATTAATTTTCATTGCAACAGAACATGTTAACATTGTTTTAAATCGTGCCAGAGATTTGCAGGTTTAGGAATATTCAGCAAGTTCTTCATTATTTTTAGGAACAAACTGAACACTTGTTGTTTTCTGCTACTACGAACAAACATCTGAAGCGAAATACAGGACAATGTTATAAACATATCTTATATCAATTTTATAATACCAGCTTCTACAGGCTGTACTCAATTAGCTTTTTTGATGCTTTGATAATTAATCACAAGTATTGATAGGTCTCTAATGCACGTCGTCAAAAACACTCGGTCACAGAATACACGGGATGTCGCCATCCTTCTTTATTATTACTTTTATTTAATTTTTAAAGGATGGCTTTATCAACTTAATCGATTACTATTATGATTTTAGAGGTTCCAACGGTAGTTAAGGGGCACTATGGAAATTGGACTTTAAATTTGTAAAGATTTTTTGTACACACTAAAAATAATTTAAAACAAAATTAAAAAATCTTGAAAAATTTCCATTTCTTGTTTTTATAGTGCCCTCTTGCGTCAGTCCAACCTAAAATACTGCACGGATATTTACCCCGTTCATGGACAGTAACTGCGCTTACCGTAAACATAAATATCCGAATATGTCAAAGTCAAAGATGATTTATTCCATAGGTAAAATAAATTTACACTTGAAAACGTCACATTTAAGCTACTGCTCGTTCACTACGCTGACCTCCCTGTGAAGAACGAGCAAGAAACTCTAGGGATTGCTCTTTTCAAATAAACTTAAATGCTATGGAATACACTTTAAATCAAATTTGTGTGGATTCTGGAGCCGTGTCGTCTTTCCATACATCTTTATCTAACACGTAGTCTTCAATTTTGTAATATGATTTTTCGATCAAAATATTTTTAATGTAGTTTTTAAACTTAGGAAATGATAAACTTAATATATGCTCCGGAATCTTATTGTAAAAACGTATACAGTTCCCCATAAAAGAGTTGTTTACCTTGGTTAAACGAAATCGTGGTACCATGAGTTTGGACTTAGCTCTAAGGTTAATATTATGGATATCTTCTTTCTTATTGAAATTATGTATATTTTTACGGGCATATAAAATATTTGAGTAAATGTACTTGATGCCACAGTCATGATAAGGGATAAATTCCGTATCAATAAGGGATAAATTTAAATTCAAGCTGAGGTAGTATGGACTCTTAAGTCGCGCATTAGTGTAAATGTAGACGATTACTTAGTGACTGCATCGCGACTGGATAGCTGCAGACGCGCTGTTAAAAGTCCCCGTGTGTAACCGCTCTTAGATCTGAAAACGCAAATAAGTCAGTTTTTGAAGAAAAAAGCCTCTTGATGATGCCAGAACAATTTTGGTATATGATGACTCAAGAGGTTTATGATCCAAATTGTTTATTTAGCTGTATTCCATAAGTAGAAGTTTGCAGGCGAAGTCGGAGATTTCCAAAGGCGCCGAAGAGGAGCTGGCAGTTCGGATCCACAGTTCACATTCCAACAACAGCCCTCGAGGTTCATCACCTCATGCTGTTGTTGACGGACACAGCGCTGATGTCAAGAAAATGTCTCGAAAGGTATGGTACTGACAAACCCGTTCTCTAATTTTGTTGCTGTTATTTAGAAATCAAAAGCATCGTCTTTTTTTAACGTACACACTCATAACCCTGCCCTAGGGAAACCCTGTAACGCGGGTGCATGGACACACATAGACATCCACAAATTATGCCCAAATTCACAAGAGAAATAAAAGTAGGCCAATCAAATATTTCTCCAGGCTCGGGAATCGAACTCGAGACCTCTTGCGTGGCAATCCAGCGTGATAACCGTTCGGCCACGGGGGCAGTTATGACTGCAAATCATTCGACTTTGCACACCAGATACACATGATTTTTTTTTAAAGCATCTCTTTGATGAATTAGATGCTTTTCACACAGGTTATAGTATTATAGAAAGCCATCGATAAGATCGTATTCCCTTTATAGCAAAATGATATTAAGTACACATTCTATATTAGCTTGTATGCCTAACGACGCCGAATGTGACGTCACGAACCTTAATTGCCGTTTCTTTTAAACCGACTTTAAAAAACGAGGAGGTTCTCAATTCCGTTGTTTTTCCAGGCCTTTCTAGTCTCAATGGCTAGACTTGTGGTAATTGAACTAGGCAGCTCACTGCGCCTGTCCTACGTTGTAGTCTCGGAGCTGTTGCCGCGATTCCGAAATACTCTAGGTATGAAGTCCAAGTTGCCGCCTGACCTAATCGCAGAGGAATTTTATACCAAAGCCCGGGAACAGAATTTCGTAAGTTCTTATGTTATATAAAATAGTAATTATTATTATTATTTTCAAAATATGTCCACACCGCGTTAGTAACTATAATAACCTTGTGACTAAGTTAGTAAATAAATATCAGAGTCCATTACATACGTTGCTCAGATCCCAAAGTATGTAAGTAAAATATAAAATATATAAAAGTAAGTAACTTAAGCACTTGTGTTATGGAAATCGGAAAAAACGACGGTACCACAAGTACCAATAGCCAAGACAATAACAAAACCTAGTTTGTCTGCATTGGCCCAGCCGGGTATCGAAACCGGAATCTCAGTGATGGCGACACCATGAAAACCGGTTTGCAAGCCACTCGACCACGGGTCGTCCAAGTTAGGAAACACACAATTAGATATTTTACTCAATCCCTTCTGGCGTTCCGGGAGCGAACCTGCGGGAAGCGTACCGGAACTTGTCACACAGCAGTCCCAAGCGTTGTTCAAGGGGAAATAGCGGAGCGAACATCCACTTCAGGCACACAGGGTAGGCAGAGACAACAGCCTTCCAATTGCCACGGTCCTGAAACTCATATACCAATCAACCTTTTCTTGTCACCTTTTTTGAAATCAAATGACTAATCCTTTTTTGTAATAAGCACTGAATACAAGTACTATTGTGGTATTTTTGTCACCTGATGAACCGACTATATAGTTGACATTGAATCATGTTTGCCTAGGAAGTGCCTATTGGCCCATGTCCGGAAAACCACCGTGTGGTTTCCTCGGGAACAGCTGATCTGCAGGAAGCTGGGTATAGTTCGGAGTGATGGGTAAAAGAAACCACTGACGATTCCAGGTGGACTTATCACGTAAGCTGCTTGCGCAGCCGCAGCCTCGCTTGTGTATGCTCTTGGACCTTCTGTGGACATTTCTCGACGAATCAGCCTTATGCGATGTCTTGGAACACTGCATCGTCAGAGAATGTTTGCTTTTTGACCTGGTGTCACCGGTAAAGTTTACTTCACTTGTTTTAAAATGGTTCCTGGTTGTAAATAATACTCCCTATCATATACTTATGAATCAATACTGCTCGAATTAAATTTTTTCCTGTACTAATACGATTAACTTTGCTTTGGTCGAGCGGCGGGGTCGCTGGCTTTATTCAAGATTTATTTTTTTACAAACGAAGTTAAAGCCATTTGAAAAAGGGAAATATTTAAGTGCATATCAGAAAACTTAATACATATAAATTTATGTTCAACAAACAAACAACTTTCACATCTAAAAAATAATTTAAAAACATGTATCAAAACTAGACCTCGGCTAATTTCTCAGTGTACAACGTAAGTGTTCATTTATTAACAGAAATATGGTTTATATGACAAAAATACTGATTGCACATCAATTTAAATTAACTCTAAACGAAATAACAATTCTTTTAACAAAATTTCCGTATTTTTTCTCAAAAGTTGCTCTACAAATTATCTTCGTTTATACAATGAGTTACGTACAACAAATATATTTATTATATAACAAATAACACATATTGCATAACATTATTTCAAAAATGTCATCTGATTTACTGAAAATAATCGGAACTTTTTATCTCTTTCGCATACAACCTTAAGTCTGGTACAATATGCCCGAATAAAGAACAAGCTAGAAAGTTATGCAAATGAAACTGCCCTTATTTTTCAAAAACTATAAATGCAAACAGTCATTTTGTAGGGCTCGCGATCCGGCTCATGTATGTGGTACCACCAGCAGACGCCAAAAATGATCTAATCGGACAGAAAACGAAGCGTGGACTTTCTGCGAAAGCAAGATTAGCAACAAGCATTATTATTATTTTTTAGAATAGAATAGAATAGAATAGAAATAGAATAGAAAGCCATTTATTGCACAATCACAAACATGCATATAAACAAAAAACAAAAATAATAATAAAAACAAAAGGACATTGAGGAACAATAATAATACAAAATATGCAGGTAATTCATCGTCATGCGTGTCGCGACTAGTGCAAACGGGACTTGCTCAGCTTTAGCCACAACCGGTTTGTTTACCGTGTCGTGGCACTGATTTTCAGCAAGCCCGGGCGAGTGAGTCATTGACTATGATAATCTAATCGAAAAAGAAGTAAACCTAAAGAGATAGCAAACCTACGAGAGTAATAGAAATAGTAATAATAATACAATAATAAATATAAATATAACAATGTTGTACATATAACTATATAGAAATACGTAAATGATAATAAATGGATAATGTCTAGTTTTGTGAAGTGTGGCGTCCGCGCGGACGATACAGGAGATCGAAGCGGGGTGCGGGTGTGGGTGGCTTTTTGATAGGCAACAACCTGTTCCGATGCGTATCTCTTGCATATCCAAACCGACACTCGCGTCGCTCGCCGGAGTGTATGACGCAGCAGAATAGTGCACTTTCGTAATGCATTTTTTCAATATAAACATTTGGGTAAGTATTTTCCAAACCATTATATTATTATATAAATTGAATTTATAATAAACATTGATGTATTAATAATGAATTAAAATGAAACAATATTGATTCCCAATAACTAATTGTAAATATGTTTATATTGCAGAGAGAAAAACAACTAAAATTAAAATAACAAAATGATAAGATCCCCACCTGAAACCCGGTAATCAAGCTTGTAAAAAAGTAAAAAGAAAAGAAGGAGAAAAATCTAACAAGCAAAGGAACTGACTGCCGCAGGTGTCGCATATGCCGAGCGTAGAAAACCATTTGGTAAGTAAAAATAAATAGCAATTAAGAAATTGTGTCTTGGTTTTGTGCGTTCAGTAGGTACACTTTGTATTTATCCTTAAACGTTTTCTCTGATTGCAGACTACGGATCGGCGGGGGCAGGTCGTTCCAGATTTTGGCGGCAGCAAATTTAAAGCTACCACGGAATGCAGTAGTACGATGGCGGGGTAGCACCAGAGACCAGGCGCGAGATCTGGTGAAGGACTTTTTAACTTCGCGGGACCACACTAGCTTCTCAGCCAGATAAGGAGGAACACTATATTTTATTACGCCAAACAGAAGTGTAGCTAGGTGTAAATCTCGCCTCGCTTTCATTTTTAATATATTTCCCCTGTTCATGTATGCTGTTACGTGCGTGCGTGGAGGGATTGTGAAACAGAATCTCGCGCAGGCATTCTGCACTCTTTGAATATGCCGTTGTGTACGCTCCAGCAATCGTGGCCCATACACTACGTCCATATAATTAAATTTGGAAAGGATCAAAGAGTCGCACATTTTTATACGAGTTTCGACACTCAGGTAATTTCTAATATTATAAAGTACATTAAGCCTATAAAAACAATTTTTGACAACATTCAATATATGGCTCTCAAAACGTAGCTGTTCATCCATAAGGAGGCCCAGGTTACGTGCTTCGCTTACCTGGTCAATCGCTTCACCCCTAATTGCCAGAACTACACCATTACTAGCGATTTTTGACGTTTGCTTTTTTGTACCTAGTATCATCAATTTAGTTTTGCCACCATTGAGTACTAGGGAATTTGTTTCTGACCAAGAAGCTATACTCTCTAAGTCCTGGTTTAGCTTTTCCACGGCTGCACTACTATTGCACGGCTTGCATGAGATATAAATTTGTATATCGTCAGCGTAGATATGGTATTTGCAGTGTTTTATGTGATGCACTACGTCTGCACTATATATGGCGAAAATAATTGGCCCCAAAATTGAGCCTTGTGGAATACCTCTTGTGACCTCACAAGACTTTGATAATATTTTTGAGCCATTCACATCAGATAGTTCAACACACTGGGTTCGGTTTTTTAAGTAACTAGTAAACCATCGAATAGTGGATTCACTGAAACCATAATAATGCAGCTTTGCTAGCAACAAACTAATATTTATACAGTCAAAAGCCCTAGAAAAGTCAAGTAATGCTAGCAGAGTACCTTCTCCATTATCTTGAGCATGTAATATGTCATCGACTACATTTATCATTGCAGTAGTTGTACTATGACCCTGTCTAAAGCCTGACTGCACAGATGGAAGAATATTATTTTTTTCCATGAACTTGGTCATTTGTTTAACCACAATCCTTTCCAGGACCTTTGATGCGCAAGACAATATACTTATCGGGCGAATATCATTTAAGGTAGATGGATCGTTCACCTTAGGTATAGGCCTAACTACCGCACGAAGCCACTCACTTGGGAATGTGCTAGTTTGTATGGATCTATTTACCATGGCGCAGATAACCGGCAAGGTTGCAGGCAATGATAGTAATAGCATGTCCAATGAAATACCATCGAGACCAATTGCCTTTGACTTTAAGGACTGAATAACTTTAAGTACCTCGGTTTCCTCCACTGTTTGAATTTTAAAAGTTTCTGACACAGAACAGTTATTGTTAAAGTAGGACAGATCAGATAAGGAGGTATGTACATTACCAGGCACTTTTAAAAAGTGTTCATTTATTAAGTCTGGGTCTTTAAATATATGTGCTGGTAATTCTGGTTTAGTTTTAATTCTCACATTATTTTTAATGTGTGTCCATAATACCCGCGAGTCCCTCTGGTTATTTACATAAGTGTCAAAGTAGGTTTTTTTTTCAATATGTAAAGCATTATTCACAATTTTTTTCAAATCTTTATAATAAGTCTTTTTCGACTCATTGTAACTGCTTGTACGTACCCTGTTAAGTGCTTCGTCCCTTCGTTTCATTAATTGTTTAATATTGTACGTAATCCAGGGGTAGCTGAAATCTTTTATATACAATATACGAACTGGTGCATGAAAATCGAACAAGACACGTATCATATTAGTAAATTGATCCACCATGTCATTTACATTGCTCAAGTTGGTTAAACTCATCCAGTCCATGGCAAATAGATCCATATCAAAATGTTCAAAATTAATATTTTGAAAATTCCGGCGCATTATTCTTATCGGTGGTGGTTTCACCTTTGACACGTTTAGTAGGCAGGTGATGAACGCGTGACTACTTAGCTCAGGCGTGAAATGAACCTGCGCTAATGTGTTATCCATGTCCGTACAAACCAAATCAATTAAAGTTTCACTAAACTCGGTGAAATGTGTGGGCTCCGATACACATTGAAATAAATTATGACAATGCAGAAAGTTCATTAATGCGGTGGTACTCGTATCTAATTTGTGTAACAAATTAACATTAAAATCTCCCAATAATACAATTTTGTTGCACCATGAGAAACCACTTAGGCTCTCAGTTAATGCATCAGTGAAGGTATCTAAGTGTAACCATGGCGGTTTATATGCAGTACCCACCAGCAACTTAATACCATTAATGTTTACACTTAGCCACATTTGCTCCACGAGCGAGGCCGGCGGATGAGGTAGTATGCGTACAGCGATGCCGCGACGTATATAAAAACCGACCCCCCCGCCGCGTGAGCGAACAGCGACGGGGCGGGGAATATGACATAACCGGAAGCCGGGCAGCGCCGGCGCACGACCCTCCTCCCCCTCCCTCAACCACGTTTCATTGATTGCCATAATATCCACGTCGTGTCGGTGCATTGCTGCTACAAATTCGTCATGACGCGTTCCTAACGAGCCCACATTAAGTAAACCTAACTTAAGTTTACGTTTCATATTGAATTTAAATAATTATAGTTGATTAATACGATATTAACACTGATATGGACAAGTAAATTACGGTGTGGTGCAACAAAATTGAGTCGACTAAGTTCACATTCCATAGCCAATCGAGTGTTTTGCACATGGTTTTGACCACGGCCCTGCCGCTGATGTAGGTGAAGTGCGTGTTCAGTGTATATAGGTTGTGTTTCAATAACTATATGTGTACGGAATGAGTGTAAAATGATACGTGCGGATTTTGTGTGTATAATGTTGTAAGTATTATTATAATATATGTAAATTGTAAAATATAATGTAAATATGTAAATATAGTCATGCGTTAGATCTATTGCGGCCAATGTAACACGACACGCACGACGGTGCATTATGTACAGATGTTTTAAACATAACAACAGTGATAACAGTGACAATGGTATGGATAAGACTACTGGTAGGCTCTTGTTGTCGGGGAACGAACGTTGTCGGGACCAAAAATCTTATCCAAATCCGCTTCACTGCGGATGCGGTGACCAGCGGTTCCGGCTTCCCGCCTCACGTAAATCCTACCATCTTTGGTCCATACAAACTTCCACTGCAGCCTTCTAGCAGTTTGTTTCGCGGTGTAAAATAATTGTCTATTGACTCGGGTGAGACGCTCATTGACGTAAATGGGCCGAGGCTGGCATTTCAACCCCAGACCCTCGGTGGTGAGGTGCCGTCGAACGCGCGCAGCTCGCAGCAGGGCATCCCGCGTGTCCCGACGCGCCAGCCTTACGGCCAGTTGTCGCGGCCGCGCACCCTCCTCACGGCGCAGCGCACCCACGCGTGTGCAGCTTACCAGGTCACGTTGGTCTATCTGCACACCCAGCTTAGCCGCGCAAGCCAGCACAATATGGATAGGGTTTTCCCCACCTTCTTCCGGCACACAGCTGAGTTCGACCTCGTTCGACAGCAGGTCCTGGTCGCGCTCATTTATGTCTCGTTGCAGCCTTTCGACATTTTCTTCTAAAGCCCTAATTGTCTGCACAACTTCAGGATTTATACCAGTGGATGTCCCTTGTGCCACCTTTATATCCCTCACCGTCTCCTCCATCTTATCCAGGCGATCTTCACATGCCCTCACAGTCGACCTAAGGTCTACTAGGTCCTGGCGCAAACCCTTCATCTCCTCCCTGGTTCGAATCATCTCTAGCCGGAAAGCACGTAGCTCATAGGCGAGACTCTTGTCAGTGAGTACATCCTTCGGATCGTCCTGCGAGGTGTCTCGTAACTCTTTTTCCTGTCCAGGGCTCTGTAGTTGCGGGGCGATAGGTGTGGGGAATGTGGGTGCCATTGCAGGGGGTGAAGGTGCCATTACGGCAGATGGCCCTTTAACAGGAGTGTTGTCCTGGTTATTTCGAGGTACTTTTACTTTACAACCTGGAGACACCCACGGTGATGGTAAATGGGACTTCTTTCCGACCCCGACACATTCTTTGTGGAAGCATTTAGCACACATAGAACAAACAGCATTAGCGCCCTCTGTTGTTGATATGAACTTCTGACACGCACTGCACTTAACAACCATATCGACCGATGAAGTAAAGCTGTCAAATTATAAATTAAGAATGAAAGCGAGCTCACTACTTAGTTCACTCAACTGCCGATAGGAGTCACTGGTGGTGATTTTTAGTATTTTAAAAAGTCGGTACCAATTGGTTAAGTTTTTGTATGATACCTTACAGAAATTCAAATAAATTATTATTGCGATGGGAAATTGGCTTTATATCACTAATTCACTGATATTATTACGCACATAACATTCAGAGACGACCGCGATACACTACTCTATACTTTACGTAGAATGTAAGATCGGTAAAACGCTTTTAAATATTTATTTTGGTAAAAAAATTGACACTGGTCTTTGATTGCGTACGGTTACAACGGGGGCGGGGGGGTGTGTTTTTAATTATTTTCTGCTTTTTTATTTTAAGCTTTGGAGCCATTGACTTACAAATAAATGGACGACGGGTCTAATACAAAAACCACGAAAAAAATGTCCCAAGTCAACCTATTTAAACATGTAAAGGAATACGAAAAAGCTAAAACGTTGAATTTAAATTGTAATGTCATCGCAGTACTGTCTAATTTTGCTTGCTTCGTTGTCAGTCGAACAAACGAAGACTAAAGCGTGAATGACGCTCTGTATACGATTTTAACGCCCTATAAGTTCGGACACTTTTTAGCGCGGACCCGACGTCCATATAATTGTAAGTCAATGTTTGGAGCTGATTTTCTTGCACGCAATTCATAATATTATAACTAAATTGAACTTTTACTTGCAAATACAAAAATTTAATTTGTTTTTGTTGATCTTACTATTGTACAATTAGACCATTATGTCAAATAAAATGGTGTTTCATTCCTATAGACTGATGTACACCACGCCAGCACATCAAGCTACACATTGACGTATCTTGTTCCGTTGCACTGGAGGCGATTTTCGAACTAAAATGTGTAGTTTGGTGTGCCGTTGTCCGTACCGTTTAGTGAAATAGGTATGTTTTTTCTCATAAATTTGTGGTCATAATATGTTTGTTGTATGCCAGAAATATTAGATATGTATTTAGATGTTAGATATGCATTGCGATAAAATGTTATGCATTAATTTTAGTACGTGCTAAATTATTTTCTTTTGATGTACATATTTTGATGTGCAATCAGAACTTTTTTTGGGGAAGTGGCATAGTTGATTGTAAAATAACTTGTTTTTTTTAATGAGCGGTTAAATACCACCCTTTGAAAAATATATGTCGTATACTATACGTGTTCTGTTTAGTTCAGTTGATATAAATAAAAATCATCGGTACCTACATAACCGCTTACGCGATGCGCTCTTCCTACCGCAAAATGCCGGCTATTTGGTTTCGCAAATTAGAAAAGCATTCAGTTTAAATACAATTTTTATAAATAAAAATTATTATTCTGCATTGCTAAATAAATACCCTCCGTATAACCAACAAAACCATCTCAAATAAAATGCAGTAATACACCGCAAATCCTGCACTTAAAAAGCACTAATTAAATTTTTGGTGTACTTGGATAAATATCATAATTTTCCGTTTGAGTGGTTCTAACGTTTACCATGAAATTACTCCTTGAAGTATAGTTTATAAACATTTATATTCAGGGTAAACTTAAAAAACGCTACTTACGGTATGTTTTCAATAAATAAACACCGAAATCACCAGCCCAAACAATAACACACACGATTGTCGTGACGTATTTTTGAAGTTATTTATTTTTTTTAAATGGCAGAACCAGGCATTAAAAACTTTATGGTTTGCTAGAGTAGCTACCAAAATAGCAATTAATATTAGTTCTTTTACCTGTTATAACTTCGATATCCGATAAATCGGTATAAAATAATCACCGGCACCTCTAGGTGTGGTATGCGTCTACGGCTGCATGTATCGCGTGAGCGGATAAAGTACATATTGAATACAGCGGTTTCTTTGTAAAATTTCGAGATAAGTTGTATAAACTTTTATTAAGAGAATCTTGATTGAAAAGAAGACGTAAAAACAAGAAATGATAGAAGTTTACCTGCAGCGTCTTTCACTGATTATACTCGTATAGCTGCTTTTCTAGCTGACTGGTCCGTGTGTCCCCTAATGCCATTTAAATTATTCAAATAGTAGTTTTAATACCAACGTGTTAGGGCAGCTGGTAAATTGATTTACTCTCATTTCAGGATATGTCATTCGCGCATCAAATAGACGGTGTGTATGTTTTGTGCGGCCTAATGCAGCACCGGGATACCAGACACCATCTTATCAAATATGTCTTCTTCAATAAAATTACGTTAGTTGTTGCTTTTATTATCATTTCTTTTGACAACCATACCAAACAATCCTGTCGCGATTCACCTAAGTTCAAGCTATCCAAATATCTTTAAAGTTACGTAGTCGTTCGATCGAAGTCCTATCCAAAATTCACGTATCACTTGAACGACTGTTGATATTAATAGAATCGAAACGTAACGACTAATGAACGACTTCTCAACGACTCCATAATCGAGACACATAATGTCGCGAGTCACATTTTACAGCGTTCTACAAATACTAAAACCTGAAAAATTACCGTAAAATCATTGACCTACTAACAAATGGACGTCGGGTCTAATACAAAAACCACGAAAAAAATGTCCGAAGTTAACCTATACAAACGTAGTGACATGTAACGAAATGTAAAAAACTAAAACATTTAATTTAAATTATAACGTCATTGCAGTACTGCCTAAGTTTGCTTGCAACAATTTAAGGACCCAAAAACACCATATTCAGCTTCTACTGGAAATTTAACAAAATGCACCATATTTAGCTTCGACTTAAAATTACTTGAACACAAGAGTAATGGAGTAGCCTTTATCGTAAATATTAATTAATTTTTATCTATATTATTATGTCGAATTTTGTGCAAATTCACTTAAAGAAATAATAAAGAGTTGGGCAGATACAAACATACATATATTACTACAAATGTGAAAGTAAGCGTGTACTATAAGATATGTACTGATATTCCAACTAAACGTAATTCTGAAAACCGGTTTATTTAGTTTTGTAATCTTCCTATAAATACATTTCTTTTTGTAAACTTCCCAAAAAATACATTTGACATTTTATTTCGTTAGCTCTTAATTTTAAAATAAGATTAAAATCAAAGCGACTCTATAGTTCCTTTGTTCTAAATATTTCAATCGCTTGTGGTTCGAACAATTGAAAATGACCAAAAAGTTTATATAAGCTTCTTGAAATGGACGTAATGGTCTCTTTCCATCTTTTGCGCATGTAATGTGTAGAAAAAGGACAGTTAGCTATTTGATTATTTTGTGTGCTTTTGTAATTTATATTTACGATTCATTTATATATAAATTAAATACGATAAAACCGTACTATATATAACACTTTTAAATGAGAACTATGATAACACAATATATTTGTTTAGTGAAAATATGGTACAAAATCCTGTTTTTACACTTTACTGCAGTAATTTTTACAAGTTATTATTATATGGCACTGCATGATTCACAACCGCGCTGTCACTCGAACAAATGAAGACTGTTGCACGATTGACGCTCTGTATGCGATTTTAACGCCCTATAGGTGCGGACACTTTTTAGCGCGAACCCGATGTCCATTTATTTGTAGGTCAATGCGTAAAATATATACTTTTTTGTACAATATTATATTATATTTACTCATTAATATTATCTAAAAACCCTGGTTTCTTCAGTAAAAGTAATAAAATGCAGTTTGACAACCAATTTAATAAAATTTGCAACGTCCATGCGGAATATTTTAGGTTCAAACAGGCAATTCAATCAATTATAAAAACAAATAACGTCAGTCATAATAAAAACGCGTGTGTTCCTTAATTTGACATTGGTGGAATCATCGAAGGTATCGATGGAGCTATAACATTATAAAGAAAAAGAAGAATTTGCGCTGAAACTGAATTTCTTCCAAGTGCTGACCTCCTGGTAAATAAAAATTTTTCCCGCCAAATTTCTTGATACTTATCGGCCGTAGACGAAAAATTATAAAAATAAAATGTGTTTATTTAGATATATTCTACTGGAAACAAGCGTTAAATTCAAATTACAGCATCATTTTAAAAAAGAGTCAAAAATTTTCGCTCGTTTCCACAATGCTCCCTTCGCTTCAGTCTGATCCATCCAAGCAAGCCCTAAACTCATTTTAAATCCTTAGAAGTAGACTAACACCATCAAAGGAGTCATATTTTCACACAATATTAATCAATCACTACAGGAAAACGAACGTTCAACGACTGTTGGATTGTGAAATTTGACGTTTAGTTGTCGAAAGTCTATTGAAAGAACTGTCAAAATTTTAGCACAATACGTATGACTTGTCGTTTAGAATCGACCTTAGTTCGATTCATATACCAGAATACATTTTAACGACATTTGGATCGAACGACTTCAAATTTGGACTCGTTGAAGTTCGACTGTGACACGCGAATACGAAAAAGTAGATCAACGACTAAATCGCTACGATATCGTAACGGTTTGATTAAGTGAATTCCACTACTGCACTTTGAATTTAGTAGTGATGAACAATGGACCTTATCCCTGTAGAACACCGTATCCGATACGACAAATTGGCTCCTGAAACACCAATTTGTAAAATTAATATTAAATTTATAGTAATAATATTTTTTTTTCCTATTCATTTGTTTTATCTTTTTTTATTTTGCTAGTTTCATTTTTAAATGTCATGCTTGCCGCACCCGTACGCTTCCACAGACACGTTTAAGGGTCGTATTCCAGAACTCTTCTCAATGCTCAAGTCAGGACTTGAGTATGATTTCAAGCACTGGAAATACGACCCTAATGGCAAGGACTTAAGTATGATTTCTAGTGCTTTAAATCATACTCAAGTCCTGATTTGAGCATTAAGTAGAGTTCTGGAATACGACCTTAACACTGACAGACAACTACACTAAAACTCACTGCACAACTTACACATTGCTTTTTGCTGTTGACGCACCACACCGCATTACCCTCTAGGCGATAGCTGAAAACAGTGCGTTGCTTTTGGGCAACACCCTCACTGAGCTATGGCCTGTTTGGCTTGCTGCAGCACTCACAACTTGCTTTTAATTAATTAGCAGATATATGTTGTTTATTATGTATATTTATTTGATTATTTTTATTTTTATGTTTTGCGTTTTTGTCTTCTTTTTTTTCGTTACTTGTTATTTCATATTGTTGTGTGTGCTTGTGGAAAGTCAACAAACGTATTCTATCTATCTATCTATCTAATTCTCTTATGATCAGTATTTTGTAGACTGCAAATGAGTTGATTATGCCTATGCTGAGTGTTGTCTCACCAATTTCAGCCAATTTCAATTCAATATAAATCTGAACCAGGTTTGACAATTTCCTAAACGTGAAATGTCCTGACGACGCCGTGCTTCGCACCGTAGTCCGTAAGCCCTGGTGGCAACGGCCAACCTCTGTGCTCGGGGAGACCGATCCTAGGATAGCTGGTAAGAAGTTTCTTAATTTGAAATAGTAGTCTGTATATTTCTGTAGGTTTCGTATATAGAGGACGAGAAGAACAGCAGCAGTTAGATGAATAGTTTTAGTAGATAGTTTATAGATAGTAGATAGTTTTATTAGCAGTAGAGCTCCTTGTGAAAGAGTTCGTCCAGGGAAGTTCTGCCACCTTACTTATTTCTGCCGCCAAACAGTAATGTTAGCATTGCCGCGTTTCGGTTTTGGGTAAGAGGGCTCATGAAATTACAGGCACATGGGATTTGTCAACTTATGTCTCAGGGTGACGGGCGCTGTGACAGCACCCCTCAGATCTTTGCTATTTAAAGTTCTGAGTGGCACTGCAAACGTTATGGACGGGCGTGTAGCTTATACTCAGGTGCACGACGTCACTTGATAATATTAAAAAAATATAACAAATAACCTGCGATGGCCAACATATCAGCGGCTTTGTTTTTTGGAGAGACTTTAGACAAACATTCGGCAATTAGGCTAAGCAATATGACGTTTTTTACCCTTAGCTTCTGACGTGTTTCTTTCTCTTAAGTGACTGCAGTAAAGAATATTTTAATATTATACAGGAATATTTGTAAAATAATAACCTCACAGGATTACATCACTAACATCATAAACAACAAGTTTTGTTCCATGACGTGTAATTGTTTATTAGATAATACTTTCGTACAAAAATATAAATATTTAAATAGGTCACTCTGAGCGGTATTAACTCTGTCCTGTAAGAAAATACAAGCGCTAGCGTAAGAGCGTTTGAGTACTACGTTCAATTCGTATCAGGGGGTCTACTGTCGATCTCCGTCCGACATCCGTCTGAAACAATTACCGCCAAATACGCAATACTTGACCAAATGAAAGCGACATCCGAAGTGGGTCCAAGTTTTCTTGATTTGTATAGTCTCGGATTCATAACTATTACGAATCAGATGCAGTGCTCAAGCGCACTTAGGGTCGTATTCCAGAACTCTACTCAATGCTCAAGTCAGGATTTGAGTATGATTTAAAGCACTAGAAATCATACTCAAGTCCTTGCCATTAGGGTCGTATTTCCAGTGCTTGAAATCATACTCAAGTCTGCTCAAATCCTGACTTGAGTATTGAGTAGAGTTCTGGAATACGACCCTTAGTATCAGACTGATGTAAGAAGCAGGAGCGCGGGTCGGGGCCGTCTGGGAGGACGTTTGTACTAGTGTGGAGTTGCTCATACACGAGATCAGTCGTTTGTGCCACTCATTTGGTTAGTTTGTCAAAACACCTCATGTCATAAAAATGCATCGAGTATATAACCAAATAGAGACGAAATATCATTTAATTTGTTTGAAAACTATTCTGCCATATCATTACTGTGACAACTGCGCTCCGATTGGCCAGCCCGAATTCAAAATAACTGATAGGTGTCGTCAATTGTTTCATTTTGAAACGACCAGTTAACTTGAGCTTTGCTATAATGGACGAAAATTGCAAAATTACATATTTAACATTTAATTAACGATGAAATTTGATTCCGTTTGTTTTGTAATTATATGTTTTGCTGTTTTTTTCCCACACCACTAAAAGAAACAGCGTGCCATTGTTAGAGTATTACCTTTATTACAATAAATACAGAATATTTTTGGAATATACGGAGAAGTACACACAGGTCAGTTGTTGGCGCTTCTATATTTCAATGCAAACCAGAGTTGATGTTTATAACTAACTAGGTAATGATAAACTTGGACAAGCAATTTCAAATACCTTGGTTACCTGATTTAAAAGTACCTGTCCAAAATATAACATTTTAAGTGCTTTTAATTTTTTTTTTAAATCGTCAATATTATTCTAGTTAGTAGTAGAATTAATGAAAAATATAATATTATACGTGGGGCGCACTATAAGTTTCCGGAACGAATAAGAAAAAAATACTATAAATGGTCAGAAATGACTTTATTATTTCTCAAAATTAAAAAGTGAAAAAGTGCATTAACGCTAACGGAGAATTCCGTAGCGTTAATGCGATTTTTCATACAAATGAACCAATTTTGAAATAAATTATGCCATTCCTCCGTGACAATCTCCGAAATATTTTTTCATACTCTTCGACAGCCTCTTCAGGTGATGAAAATCGTTGACCGCGTAACTGGTTCTTAATTTTTGAAAATAAATGAAAGGCAATAAACAAAGTGCCAGGTCGGGACTGTACGCGAGAAGGCTCTTAAGGTCAACGTTGTTCACCTTCAAAAATTAATATGCCTATCTGGATGTGTGAGAACTGGCATTATCGTGGTGCAAGATGATACGGCGTTTATGGTTATTTTTACGGAGTTTGTCAATAACTTCCGGCAAACAAATGATCGTGTACCAATCACTATTCACGGTACAACGATTCTCCAAAGCAACAGTAGCCACGTGTCCAGTTTTATTAAAAAAAGAAGCAATTATCCGCTTAGGGCACTTTGCACGCGCGCCACTTTGGTTGGTTTCGGCTCATCTCGAAAGACCCATACGCTCGATAGCTGCTTTGTTTTGGAATCGTAACTATAAATCCATGTGTTCGTCACCTGTTACTATATCCCACACCAAATTTGACGCCCTTTCATTGAATCTGGTAAGCATGGCGTTGCACCAAGTGACGCAATCCGTTTTTTGAGCCTCATTCAAATTGTGTGGGATCCACCGAGAGCACAGCTTTTTCACACCCAAATGTTTATGTAGTATTGATTGTATTGGACTTATGCCTATGCCTAAAGATGCTCGAATCTTATGGGATGTCACATGCCTGTCTGTTTTGGTCATACAGCGCACAGCATCGATGTTTTTGTTGTTCATAGCAGTGGACGGGCGACCATCACAAAATTCGTCACTGAGATTCACACGACCGCGTTTGAATTCTGCAAACCAGCTATAAATAGTCATCTTGCATGGTGCTTCATCGCCAAAAGCAGTTTGAAACCGAGTGAAGCTCCGCTGAACTGTTAAATTGCACTTAATGTCGTAGAAAATCATACTACGAAAATTTTCACGGGTTAAATCCATGGTGATGTAGACAACCAATATCTAAAATGACGTCACAATGTAAAAATAAGTGACAAACTGTAAAAATAAGTGACAAATCTGAGAAACAAACTGTATTCTACATTCAAAGAGTTCCATTTTCAGATGTTGTAATTGCTTTTTGAATATTGTTTATGTAAATGACCAGTTCCGGAAACTTATAGTGCACCCTATGTATCGTTATAAAAACCTAATGAACATGTGTAATTAATTATTAGGATTCTATTAATAGAATTATAGCTAGCAGATTCGCGTTAGAATTTTCGTTATGTTGCCGCTCTGACCACGTAACGTAATAAATAGTACGAGAAAGTGATGGGTAACCCTGCCACTTCACGCATACATTTGCGCATGTGCAGATAGCGCCTTGCTATATGTAGTAGTAGTAGGTAAGTAACTTTCAATCGTTGTATGGAGTGTCCGGGGTGTGCTTTGGTGGCACCTTTGTCGCACAGTCGATAAATGTAACTCCCTTCAAGTATCTATTCCCTCCCTCTTATGATTTGCGATCCCTTCAAACGAGGCGTGAAGAGGCATCTTATAAGCATGCTGGGTGGGCATAGACTTGGCCAGTATTTGTGTGGAGTCATCTGCCGGTCATGTATAAAAAAAAAATCTTAAAATTTTTTTGGTCTTCAAAGTAAAGCAAAAAGGTGCGAATATATTTTGCGCTTGGAAAGAGGTCGGTAGAGGTCGGACGATTGAATAATCGAATGTTTGTTGCCATCTGTCATACAAATCTGTTATTACTGCAAATTAATTATGTGTTTTAGCAGTAATATTTTTGCGGCGACAGATATTGTACTTGGCAAAGATCATTTTAGTATCCCAAAGTATTATTGCACCCTTTTGTTACGCCCTGGACGTGTAACTTAATTATTCTTTATATTCCAGAAATGAACGAAAAAGGCACTATCAAAAATTCTAATTTTGCTCCTTCTTCTACAGGTAAGATCATTTTGTATAGGTCCAATCAATAACTTTAAAAGCATCAACTTCTTCATCCGGGTACTCATTAGGGAGTAGTAACTGTAACATGACGGATACAGTAACGAGATTCTAGTGCGTACGCGTGAAACGACTGTTTCACTCTAGAATGAGTATCTGGTTAAGGTCAGCTCGCTGCGAAATCAGTGTGTACGTGGTAAACCTCAAAAATATGTCCCTAAATTAATTACTGAGTACACTTGAAATTTCAACAGTTTAAAGTTCACAAAAGATGTAACTCGCGGGATTGCACTAAGATCTCTGCTCCAAGTTAACGCGTGTTGCGCGAGTGGTGATTAATAGGCTAACTGGCAGGCCATGCGGCTGCACTTGCTTTTATTAGAAATCTAAATGCTTAGTCAACAGAACTACTTTTATGACAGACCATGGCAGAATATCAGCGAGTGCTATGTAATTAGCATAGTCCTCTAATGCTGAGTCATGGACTTTTTTAAATGCTCTTTTTTGCTCATTTGTTTTTTTTTTCTCTTATTATATTTTCCTATTTATTCTATTGTTTTCTTTTTGTATTTATGAACGAATTACTTAATATTTTATAATGTATTTTGCGTATCAAATCAATACAATTTTATTTTTACTTTATTTTATAGCCTTTTTTGACCAAGGGGAATCTGCTTACAGATACCCCGGCCCTGCGGAAGCAGAGCCGGGGTTATGTGGAATAGGGCTGCGCCTTGAAGGGGAGTAGCCCGATCGCACTAAACCCCCGGGGTGTTCCTCCTCTCCGCTGGCCTTCCATCTCGGGCCCTTCCAACTAACTCCCCCGAGTCCGCCATGGAAGCCAGGACACCATCCCCTCACCTGTGATGCTCAGTGGATGCTCCCCCAGCCAACGCGGCGGATCTGCTGGCATCTATCATCATCTAGCTTAACCTATATTAAAAAAAAAACTGGTTATAATAGTACACACACATTCAAACTGTGCAGCTACGTTTTGTATGAAGTTAGCACATCGAGTATATAACCAGCAATAAAGATGAAATGTCATTTAATTTGTTTGAAAACTATTCTGTCGAAACATTATGGTGACTACTGCACTCCGATTGGCCAGCTCGTATTTGAAACTATTGACGGGTGTCGTTAATTGTTTCACTTCAAACCAACCAGTGTATCTTGAATTTTGCTATAATGGACGAAAATTTGAAAATTACATATTTAATTGATAATTACCGATGAAATGTGATTCCGTTTCTTAATTAGATGTTTTGCTGTTTTTCCCACACCACCGAATGGAACAGCCCCCCATAGTTAGAGATATTATCTTTATTACAATAAATACAGAATGTTTTTGGAATACACGGAGACGTACATACAGTGCAGTTGGTGGTGCTGTAATTTGTCAGCTTTCTAATTTGTGATTTCAGTGCAAACGAGAGTTGATATTTAAAAGTGATATAAGGCCTATTTGCCTGAAGAGTTTCCAGGGATGGATAGCCCTTATTTTGTCTCTATTTCTATTTATATATTCGATTAGTTGGCATACCTGTGTTATTATACTAGTACTATGCTTTAAATAAGGATTGCTGCACACGTAAATAACCCAGACCTGCGGGTAATAGGTTTGCCGGTGGTTCACTCGACAAGCGCGTCGATTGTGGCTAATTCTCCTGTTGGATAGATCTATGTCCTCATTGCCGTAATTTTTTGACGTTAAATTCTATGTTTCAGACAAAATGTCCAAGCTGCGAGCAAACGATACAGCATTAGAAACCCAATACAGGGAAGATTGCGAGAAAATCACCAAAGCTGTGGCCCCCTTAGAACAAGTACAGGTAATAATACCTGTCTCAGGTTAGACCAAGACGTATACATATAGTCACGTCGATTAGATATTAAAAGTTTAATTTTTTTAAGATAAAGTAAGATATCTTAGGTTCCTCCACAACATAAGAGTTTAACCCCATCCTACATCTGAACAGTTCCTAAACGAGAACAGACTATTTTACCACACGTCCTGGATATATGAAATCTACTTTCTATAACGCATATCTTTTTATTTAATTAGCACATTAATGTGTCCTCTACTCTTCCACATCTTTACCTTCCAAAGCTTCTCCTCTCACAGCTTTTCTAAGCAGTGGGACTCCTTGTGAAAGAGTTTGTCCAGGAACCAGGAATGTTCTGCCACCTTATGTAAGCATTACTGCATTCCGGTTTTGAGGGGTTAAAGATGCTAGTGAAATTACAGGCACATGGGACTTGTCAACTTATGTCTCAAGGTAACAGGCGCAGTGGCCGTGCTCCTGAGATCTTTACGATTGAAAGCTTTGAGGTACTGCAATTGCTATGGACAGGCGTATTGGCTTACCACCAGGTGCACGACTTGATCGCCCCATTACTTTTTGGCTTGAAAAAAGCTCCTTCCACAGCTCCTCTTTTCAGAGCTGCTTCTTCAACGCATGCCTATTGTCGTCACTTTAGTTAGAGTTCCGAATTGGTAGACTATATTTACCTAAAGATACAAATTCAAAGAAGTGACACACTTAGGGTCGTATTCTAGAACTCTACTCAATGCTCAAGTCAGGATTTGAGCAGACTTGAGTAATATTTCAAGCACTGGAAATACGACCCTAATGGCAAGGACTTGAGTATGATTTTCAGTGCTCACTGCAATACTCAAGTCCTGACTTGAATATTGAGTAGAGTTCTAGAATACGCCCATAGAGTCGATCATACCTCCCGCAAAAATCCTTGAGTTATTGTGTTGTATTTTGTTCTATATGTATGATATATGTACATAGCAATTTTGGTTTCTTGCCGTTTATATTTAATAATTCTGTGATTTCAGAGGTGCATTCCATGCATATGACTTGAAATGTATATAAACATTCTCTGCTTATTCCGATATATTACGATAACGTTAACACACGCTATATAAATAATTGTTTCCAATTTTCAAACAGTGATAATAGCTGTTAGTTTGAGCCAGTTTTCAAATGCTTCGACTTAAATGTAGTAAGTTAAGTTAGATTGCTTGTAATGGTAAAATAATAGCACCCCTAATTGAT